TAGTTTTAGAACAAAATAAACCTTAATTTTGGATTTAACAGAATAGGACTTGGAGAAGTGATACATGTTTTTTGTTTCATTCTAACATTTCAACAGCCTAGGGCATTGAGTAAGACACAAAGTTTTGGAGAATTCAATTAGTCTTTAACTCCAACATTTCTCAGCCTAAACCTTAATGTCTCATTTTGAAAGAACAGTTTACTATGTGATTGTTGTTTCTGTGCTTAACAAGTTTTATTTATTCACAGTTTTTAGAGGATGGGTGATGTGTACCCAGGCACCAACTACACGTTTTATATTAAAACAGTGTCTGCAGGGTGAATAAAGAAAAACAAGATGGCAGCCCCCATGAAAAGCTAAACCAACGTTTGGTGAGTCAGTTCCTTTTGTCCCATTTACTGGGTAGAAAGAACCCATAAATACAAGAATGTGTATAGGGATTGGACATGTTGGGGGGTACCCCTCAGTCTCATTTCTTGCTGGGTATAACATAATGTAGACAGAAACTTGCGATGCATGCGATTGAGTTAACGTCACACACAGTTGAAGACTCTCTTTCCCCGCTTCAGGTACTTGGTGGCGCAGTGCATAACACAAAATATATCTTGAGAATGACGTTGGCAAGTTACATTATTTGAACGACATCGAAAATGATAACAAATACAGGAATTTTTTTTCGGCAGCAGTTGAAACAAATTTATGTAGGCCCTACAGAACTCAGAACTGTGTATGGTTTGGGTCCGACGTCCTCTCCCACGTAGGCCTATGTAGGCCTGAGGCTAAGTTGCTACTACGTAATAGGCCTACTACAAACTGTTACCAGTGTTAGGGTACATATATTTCCAAATAAGTCACTCGGGAGACATTTTGTGGTAAATTTTTCAACATTGGGGAGACATCGGTCATTAGGGAGACATTTCAATTTTGGACATTTCAGTGTCTCCCTAATGCTCCAACTACGAAAAGGAGGAAAATGTTTACCGTCCACATTTTGAGAGATGATTAGGGTCTGAAAGGAAAACGTGCAAAGTTTGGTTAAGATCGGATCAGGGAATATTGAATTATGGGACGGTAAAGTTTGAAAAGGGTTGTGCACGCTCCTATGGGAATGTCTCCATCTTTGGTAATTATAACTATTACTACATATGTAGCCTACATGTATCACATCATGTAGATTCCCCCTCTAGGCTCTATGACATGATATTTTCCTAGCTGGGCCCTAGACCTATAACGTGGGGGTCTAGAAGCAACGTTAGGCCTAGCCCCCCTTAAATCTAAACTGCAAGATTGTCACACTTTGAATCCTAATATATTCCGAAATGAAAATGACTCGACAATTTTACTTACACCGGCATATTCCTCAGAGTTTGGACTTTGATTCGAGCACCCTAAAGCTTTCCAAAACCGTATATTTTCCGATGTAAGCCGCCTTGAAAAAAAAACAGCCTGTAGTTTTACAAGGTGACCACGGGTGGCGCCATTTTCAAAAACGAAAGCAGCACTTCTTGCGTCGGTATCAAGGCACCCGCCGTACCCGACAGGCGCTCTAGTAACGTTGTACCATACGAAACTGGTTCCCTGTTATACCTTGCGTGACAAACGAACAAGGAACCGGTGAAATTGGATAACATAAACATGCATTACTGTTTCATGCTACTCCACATGCACACACGTTGCTATTGACGGACTGCACGCTGGCAAAGTGCGCGCGCAAATTATTACTAAGCAATACTGTGATACATGAATTATGCATCTCCGCACCTGTCGGGTGCCCTGACTTCAAACGAACGAAGACCCGTTTTCGTTTTTCAAAATGGCGCCGCCCGTGGTCGACATGTAATACAACAGGCCGGGTTTTTCAAGGCGCCATACATCGGAAAATTTACGATTTTGGAAAGCTTTAGGGTGCTCGTATAAAAGTCCAAGCTCTGAGGAATACGCCAGTGTACGTAAAATTGTCGAGTCATTCTCAATTCAGAAGATATTAGGATTCAAAGTTTGCGACAATCCTGCAGTTTGGATTTCAGGCATGTCAGGCATTTAAGACGTGCCTTGAAGTGGGGCTGTGGTGGCGACTGATAAGAGACAGATTGTAAAATAGAGTCGCTACAGCCCTATTTGTGGGGCTATGTTAGACATGGAACTTAGTAAGTTAGGATAGGAAAGCAACCCTCATTTTTTTCTGTTTTCTATTTTTGTAGCATTTCTTTACTCATGTCACATTTGTGAGGTATGTCGCTATTTCAGTATTTGCTTTTTATATAAAGGCTTTTTCTTATAGTTTTTAACACAGTGGCTATTGTAACGGACGATTAGAGAGATTTTTTGTGTACTTTCTTGCACCAGGCAGTTGCATTGAAAGCAGAAACCAGACCAGCCTATAACAAATGGATCTGTGACCTTTTTCCCTTCAAAAAATATCTGGTTCATGAATCCACATGTACATGTAGGCCCAGGCCTACCAAAACAGAAAAGAAAAGCATATACATGTATAAAAAAATTAAGCATGCAATCTGATTGAAAAAATAAATTAACTAAACTAGGAAAAACAAATGGGGAAAAAAATTTCACAATAGGTGGATTCAGTCCTAGCATGTCGGAAATGCTTGCGCATACCTACAAGTACATGTATTCTGCCACCACAAGGCCCCTTCTAGCCTTTTAGAGCTTGAGGCATGGCTAACACAAGAGGAAGGGGCTATTTGGTTTGGGTAAAGTCTGTTGTATTTGCTCCAGATTTACCCATTTCAGTAGCGCTGAAGTAAAGCTACTGGCAATAAATGGTGGTTCATGTAATGAGAAGTCATGGAAATCAGATAGATTGGCAGCACACAATGCCATAACTAAAAAAAATTGAAGTCATGTTACAGTTACCGTAATAATAGCCACTTCATAGTTTTCATTATTTCTTCTTTAATGGAGCTCTTTTCAAGCTTTTACGTGTAGTTAGAGGTTCTAAGTTAACGCATCCTCATTGGGCAATAGTTTCGTATCACTGGGAGACGTACATGTACATGTATGTTCGAGTAAACCTTTTGTGCATAACAAAAACAGCCTCCACGGAGTCGCCAAGCAACACATATTTAACCTCTGTTGCCACCAGGCTATCTAGATTGGTACCAGGCTATCTACATGTAGATTGGCAACCAGAATTACATGAATTAAAAACCATAACTGCAGTGGCACAATGCTTGTATACAGGAAGGTGTGCTTGCAATACATGACTCTTTGATCAATCACGTCAATAGAATATTGGAATATGCCAAACACTGAACATGCCAAGAGTATGCACATGTCAAATTAAATGCAGTGCCACCACATTTATGGCATCTCTTTGGATCAGTCTGTAAGGGCCTACCTATGCACTGGTGGTGTATGTACATGTACATGTAGGTTCCATCTCATGCCTACAGAATGGTAAGCTGACACAGTGTGTGACTGCCATGTTTTAAATTCTCACCCTCCAAGATATTTCACCAAACCACATTTTCACACCTTGCACTACATGTAGCTCCTCTACTGTTCTGGTTTTGCATCTAGAAGAGCACAGCAGTTTTCAACAGTTCTCTTGATACTGTACATGTACGTATGCTTTTGTTGCTTAAACTCCTTGTTCATGTACCCCTTTACCTCCCCACCCCAGGCAGTGCCTTGACGCTGAGTGTGAATGTTAGGGTGTACCTCACTGTGTAGTGTGTAGAACATATTGACGTGTATTGGTTATCACACGAGCGTGAGTGGAACACAAAATAATGTAGCATAATGCACTACATTATTCTGTGTTCCACAAGCCCGAGCATGAAAACAAATTTGTCTTCAAGCAAATTTGATGCGCGGTATACATGTACATGTAAATGTTATAGGGACCTACATGTATTTATACGTGCAAGCACGCCCCATTTAAATTTGTACATGTATGTAACTGCTTTAGCATAAAATCAGCACAGTGCGTTGAGTTGAAACAGCGCATTACCTGGGGTTTGACATGGACCGTGCAACATAGTTACACACACAATAATAATAATAATAACAATAGCTGATTCTTATAGTGCACATATCCATCACAACTGACGCTCAAGGCGCAGTATTATCATTATCCCTGCAAATTGGGCTCACAGCAATTGAACATTCCTGAAACCATCTCAGTTCCTTTGGGAGTATTCTAGCTGATGCTGCCCTAACAGGCGCACACGGCTAACATCTACCAAATCTGCCCTCACAGGTACCCATGTACATGTATGTCACACTTCTGTTGACATGGATCAACCAAAACAAAAACTGAGAAAATTTCAAGTTTGCCTGATGAAAACAAAATAGATTGTGCAGTGTGCATGTGTGCATCAGTACCGGTACATGAAGCTAACGTGCACATTGTCCTTGGTGGAACAATGCCTTATTTGTTTGTTACTTTGTATTTTTTGTTTATCAGTCCATTTTTATTTATTACCGGTATTGACTGTCATTGAACAACCTTACCCAACAGAGGCAGACCAATCCCACCCGATGGAGGCAGACCTCCTTGGGAAAAGACCGGAGCCAGAGGGAGGCCTGACAGTCAACCAGGACTACCTGCGAGCACTTAGTGAAATGGGCATACCAGAACCCATGGCAGAAAAGGTACATGTAACTCATTGGTTTTTATTTGAGAGTCAACTGAGAAAAGGTGAGTGGTAAATGATCTGAAAGTTCCATTTACATGCATAAGGAGCAGTTTCTCTTTTACTAAATACATGTAACTTCACTGACAGGGTCACAAGATTTAAGCTGTCCCATACTTGATCTTGGAATACATGTATGGTGTTTTATTACTCTTTCTTTGTGCTTCATGCATTGGCTTGCATGCATTGAGCCACTCAAAGGAAAGGTCAAACATTTTTGGCTAGCCTGTCTTAGAAATATGGGCTTTTTGAGAGACCAGTGTATCAAGTTTTCTTTAAAAATTTCATAATGATGAAGGGAACTTACAGGAAGAGCTTTTAAAGGTTCACAAGAAAAGACATGGAGACAAAATCAGAGGAAATGTCATTGGGGCAGGTTCTACCCTTTGGCTTTTTTAGGGCTAAAACAAAAAAAAATTATCAACACCCCTTTTAAAAAAATAGAAACAAAACAAAAATACATAAACAGGAATCTGAATCTACGAATGTGAAATTTTCAAGAAATAGTTTTTAAAATAAGTTGTTGTTGGGCAAGATCAGTTGATCAGCACAATCAGTTTATTCCGTTTGAAATCTGACAATGCTTCTCTATTTCATAACAGTTTTCCACAGCAATTTTTAGATAGAAAGTCTTATTGGCTGTTGGTAGAATTATCAGCAAATTTTGCAGTAAAACCTTGCACAAAGATAGAGAGATCAGGCAGATTGAGCAATTCCCCTTGGCATGTTGGACTTTGACAGCTTCCACCAGGGATACCTGTAAGATTAGTTTTGAGTTGTCAGCGCCAATCTCTCAGGGTGCCAGACAGGTATGTTTTGAAAATGCTGTTGCTGATTTGGTAGCAGTACATTACATGTAGTTGTCACTTTCATCTCATGCTGGCAGGCACTCCTAATGACCGGTGGCCACTCGGTGGAGGCAGCAGCCACCTGGTACTTTGATTGTCCTGATGACTTGATGGATGAACCTAAAGTTGCAGATCAAGAGGAGCTTCTTCGGCTTGCGGGGGAAGTTGAAACAAATTGGACTGGGAAGAAAGTAAATACAGCTTTTATTCCTCTGTGAAACTTGCCCATGGGCTTGTCCCTGAAGTGGACCAGTACTTCCATCTGCATTGAATAGTTTTGTTGCTTATTAAAGCTGGATGGGGTGGGGACCCTCTTGCAGATGTAGGTCCTTCATGAACCATGGCTATACACCAATGATACAAAACTTTACAAATTAACAAAAAAAAAATTGGCCCTTGGGGGATATGACAAAAGAAACCCCAAACCGCTGCCTAAATTTTCCTGGAGCCCCTCATTTTTTGTTCTGACTCACTGACTGTAATATGGAGAGGGTGCCTGTGTGTGTATGAGGGTTAGGCATGTACAGGAAGTAGAAAAGAACCAATGTAGAAACCCAAACAAAAATGTTGAGTAGGATGAGGTTTGTAAGGAGAATGTCAAATCTTGGCAGGTTTGAAACATTTGTTATGGAAAGCACCTGGCCAGCCAGACCAACAAACATTCTGGTATGAATTCAATCTGCTTGTGCAAAGTTTTCAAATTAATCTGAGTAGGTTCTGTCGTCCTTTCGAACATTCCTATCCTAACATACTCTGGTTTACAGGCCTTCTTCCATTACAGTGTAAGCAATGTGTCCATTGCCCAATGTAATAGAATACCTGCTAATTGTCAATGTGCCACCTTCTTGTCACTCCGCAGTCCTTTGCATTTCCATGCAATGCTGTACTGTGTGAGTGGTAACCTGAGACTTCCGAAGATGGTTGATGGGAAAAGATAACTTGTGCCTGGAAAGGTCGTTTTCTTATTGGGAATACTCTGATCGCTTTGGCATTGAGAGACAGTTGGGTAGGGTAATGACCTCTTTGTCACAAAGTGGCCACATTCTGTTGATGCCCACAAAATTTAAAAAGTGTATTCTGTACATGCAAGGAGTTGTTTGTAGTTACTGCGTACAAAGAATACACTGATCTGTATGCATGTAAGGTGCAGTACCACAGAGTTTTCTGAAATCTGCCCTGAAATAATCTACACATGTACCCATGTACAATGCATGCCTCTCTCTTGATTTTACCCACAGTGCTTTGATCAAATGCATTATTTTGTACATTTTATTCCAACAGCTGCCTACATGCACACATATGGTTGGAGGCTTATCAGGCCAATTGAAGATGATATTTGTTGTCAACGAAGAACTGAAAATGGGCAAAGGCAAGATAGCTGCACAGGTATGTGGAGTTTCATTGAATCATTTCCTTGTTCAGCTCGATCTTAGGTAATATAAGAGGATAATAAGAGCAGTATCGATATACATGTACATATCTTTACATCTTATATGAATACATACATGTATGGATCCCAACTAGCGAGTAACTGTTGTGTGACCCACTGTTGTGTGTGACCCACATACAAATACAGTAGCTTTATACATGTATGTTTACTCTTTGAAGGTTATAGTTCTTGTTAGTTACAATATGCTGCCAAAGAAATTAGGCAGCAATTTACAATTAGTGACTGCTTTGATGTACAATACAATGTTTTGCCACCCAAGAGGCTTTTAGCATCCCAGGTTTCACGTGAGCTGTTACATGTATGCATCCCTGAGGTATAAAAGAATTGTGTACCCAGTCACAGAGTCAGTTATCGTTTGTTTGTTTGTTTGTTTGTTTATTGTTTTGTCTGTTTTTCACCTGAAGGGCTCAAATTTAACAGAAACAAGTATGGATCGGAAATGTTGGACAGAACACAATTAAGTTGATAGCAAGCATCTTGCTTGAAATATCTTTACATCTTGTATGAATACATTTTTGGAGGAAAATTTGCATACGTTTTTCTTCAGTCAAGTTCATCAGACGTCATGTAAAGGAACTTAAAGGCAGAAATGAACTTCACCGAACTTCACTGCCCCAATAGCTGATTGTATCGTAGTGGCAGTTCTATGGTGAATTTAGCAGAGGTACAACTGAGCAATCTGATTTAAAGCAGACCCCAGACTGTTGGGTATAGACAAGTCAATGATATCACAATGATGTCCACCAATGAAGTTTGCATGCATTTTTGTCGCCCGGTCATGTGATTTCCTCTGCCAATAAAGATACAGTCTTTAAGACAGTGTAACAACACCTATATGGGTTCATCATCATGTGAACAATAGTTTCTTTAGTCAACAGGTGATGTAAATTGCACTTGAAGCTTTGTGTTATTTGAGACACACTAGTCCAGAATTTTCACCCATTTGGTTCATCAGTTCCTTCTTTGTTCAGGCTGATTTCTGCACAGATTTTTCTTTAGAAGTTACACTCTTACCATAAATGGTAATAACATTACCACCTCCTAGCCACATGTACCCATACTTTGTGCTTATCCCTATTTTACCACTGCTTTCAAAAACCTTTGACCTTTTTTTGGGGAATTCCTTTTTCAGCTGATGCTTTCATGGTTTCTTTGCAGGTAGCCCATGCATGCCTAGGGCTGTACCGCACACTGCAACAACATGAAGCCAGTTATGGACAGCACATGGTGCAGTGGGAGAAGCAGGGGTAAGAGTCAACTTCTAAATACGGATATTCCACTTGCTACACGTACAATTTGAAGGTTGTATCGGAGAATTGAAATAAACACGGTAGGTTTAATAGTGTGCGGCAGTGGTAACATGATATCTTTATTGATATCTCTCTCTCCTCCTCTCTACCGCGTAGAGAGAGATGCAAAAGATGCAGGTGCTAACAAATACATGTTTAACCTTTTGCACAGCATTTCTTGAATCACTTCAAGATTAGATTCTTCTGCCCTAGTACCAGAAGAAAGACCTATTGGCATAAAGGAAGACAGTATTCCAAGTACCTTTGTCAGACCCGCCAACTAGAATGATTTTGGCGTATTTTGTACTAAAAATTGATGAAAATACGCCCACACGTTTTTTCACCATAAAATACGGATTTCGATAATTTTGACATGGACAGAAAAAAAAGAGGGCGCTGTGTGAAATCTAAGCTAAAATAGCTAAAGCAGCTGCGAGCAAGACTTAGCCACATGTCACACGGTTCAATATCGCGAACTCGTAAAGTAGAGCGTTCTTGATTAGTGTAAATGATGTACACATGCCCCTGGTAGTGCACTTATCAACCAATCGGAACGTTGCATACCAAACCGATCGGCATGCATTGTAGAGTGTACGTTCGTGTGCATGCAAAAAAATTTCCCGACGTACTGCACTTTGTGTAGTTCTGATTCCAGTATCGCGCATACATTGGCATAGTGGGAGTTATGATGTATCTTGCCATGTCAAAAGCAGTAAACACAGGTCGTGCTATTTAGCGTCAACAAACGTCAAAAAAACGTCGACTAAATATTCAAGCATTTTTATACAGGTATTATATATTTACAAAATTCATACGGTTCCTACATATATTCAATGTATCATATTATCAAAACTTATATTTGAAGGTGGAAATTTGAGTGACAACTTTGGGCCTGCTCGTGCAGCCTGATTGGCTGCCATCTTGTTTTCGCTTGGACGGTAGAGTAAACAAGGATGGCGACTTCCATACTTCGCGAAAAAGTTTCGTTTTTCTGCGTGAATCTGAAAGCGAATTCAGAGTTTCTTTTTACACAGTGGGAGGTCTTAGAGTCTCTAAGATAAAAGTACTTTTAAATCCTCGGAGGGTATTTTCAAGTTGTTGACGCTAGTTCAAGTACTACAGTGTAGTTGTATGTGTTGACACTAGATACCATGACCAGCAAACACTGCGACATCACTGAAACGAAGAATGCGACCCACAGCACTGCAGTCCTGTCAGACTCTCTCACAAACAAAATATACACCCAAGCCACAGCCAGGCCCTGGCAGCAACGTGCACACCAAAGTGAACTGTTGCGTAAATGCAAGAAAGCAACTGCTGCGAGCAACACCAGGAAATTATAAGGTCCATTTAAACCTGCACAAGTAAAGTATTAAAGTTCAAATAGTATGTAGTCAAGCAAAAATACTTGTAAGCTTGTCTTTCCTGTTTGTTTGGGAAAATACCCATTTTTATTGAAAAATACTCACTTTGGAACCTCCGAATACACTTCTAAAGGTTCTAAAGGTTGGCAGGTCTGTTGTGTATGCTCTTGTCCCCTGGCTACAGTTGGTGATTTTTTTTTAATAAACAAAAATCCTATTTTAAAATTTCAATCAGAAAAAAATTAAATAAAAACCGTTGATATAAAGTAACAACATTTTTGAAAAAAAATTAAATTGATGTTTAGACTCAATGAGATTCAAATTGGCCAATCCTGAACCATGTGACCAGCACATTTTTGGAAGGCAAACTACACTGTACGTGTAGAAAGAAAATCTCAGGATAAGGACTTTTCCGTACAAGATAACCTCATTATTATTGTGTCAGTTTCATTACTACACTTACTCCTGCCAAAGGCAAACATCCTGTTTGCCAAATTTTTGTGACTGTTTTTTCAGCTTTTAAATGTCTAAATGGACTTTTGTTGGAAAGTGTTTTTTTGTCTTTATCCTACAATTGGGATGCACTTGTAGTTAGAACTGGCTGACCAAGTGAACTTGAAAGGAGCTTGAATTGCACACAGCACCTAGTATATACTTATTTTGACCCTCTATACAAACCCTATTGCTTGCTGAGAACGTGTTTCGCAGACATTCCGGCCCCTGTCATGCCAGTAGAGGCCTGGAGGAAATGGCAGACTGTTTTTATAAGCACCCAACTCCCCAGTAGTCGGCAGAAAAACACTTCCAGGAAAGTAATTATTGATTTTCGTTTTGTTGTTCCACAAGGTGCATTCAAGTACATGTGGTTGGGGTATATATACATGTATGCCTTTTTGTCCTTTTTCACTCATGTTTCCCATGCTTTTATTTTGTGCACATGGAATTTCAGGTTTTTGCTTTGTTTTTCTCCTTTTAGGGAATTTGTAGTAGACCTTAAAAGCATTTCAACAAGGCAACATTTCAAAAGGCATTGACCATTTTTTTCCTGCAATCACAAGCTTCTGTTCAAAATGTGTTTAGAAGTTGAGATTTAATTTTTTTTAAACATTTTATCGGTACAGCATACACTGTACAGTCAGCCTGTTTGAGCAATGTACATGTATGTTGTCATGTCAAATTTAGTTGAACTGAGTACAAATTGTATTCTTAATGCTGTACAAACAGGGAGACAAGTATAGTACTGAGTGGATCAAATACCGAGCATCTCTTAGATTTACAGAGGAGGGCATCATTTGCATCCTTGCCTACTCATCTCACACAGGATGTAGGGAAAACAGAGGTACGTGAATGATCTTTTCCTTTTGACTTAATTGATACATTCAGTTGACAAGGAAACTACTGTAGGATTATTTTCAAAGTAAACATCTCACAGTTCAAAAGTACATGTACATACTTATTCCATCTCTGGATGGATCAGAAATACACATGTAAACTCAAATGCAAGGGGCTTGTAACAGAAGAGGCACATTCCACAATGTATCATTAGAAAACGTTTGGCCTTCAATGTTTGTGCACCCAGTGGTATTCATTGTACATACATGTACATGTATAAACCTCAGAAGTTTCACTTTCTTTTGATTTGAATGAATGCAACGTGATTTAAGGATGAATCTATTTTCTTTGAAAATGTTCCATCATCTAGAGGGAAGGTCAGTTTGGGAGCTGGCTTTGACGAATTTCACCCAAACACATTGTAAGCGTACAGACTATATTCACGCACATGTACACAGGGCATACGTTTGGTATCACATGTGCATGCATACATGTAACATCGATAATGTGCAGAACTATACCAGTGCCACTTGAAAGTTAAACAGTTTAAACAAAATAGATAGAGTCGACCTGAAATTCGACCTCTTTCGTTTTATTATTCCTCATAGAGATCTCTACCTGGCAAAAAGATAATGCAGTCTTATCACAGGTTGTTAAACAGAAAACTCTTTAGGAATAGTTAGATTTATGTTAAACTCAACTGACCCTGTTGCAACATTTTCCCTTAAGGTACCCTCTGGCGCTTGTACTGTCCTGTCCATCTTTGGGGATGCCAAATTATTGGATCAAATCACTGGAACTCTCAGTCTACTTTGACTTCTGCTGCTCCATTGAAATGCCTCTACATGAAGAAAAACCAGAACTCCCCATGACTTTATGCGTAGTCGGTCAACTGATGGCTGATAAGTGGTGTCTTACCTCTTTTGCCTTATTTTAACAGGCCATTAAGTTATAACTAGGTTTAGCATACTGCATTCTCTTGTATCTTGCCCAACCGTGACCGCCTGGTCTCAGAACGAGGGCAGACAGCAGCCATGAAAATTTGGAAATTTGGCTGCTCTTCTACTGAAGATCATTTCTTAAAGCGGTGTTAGCCATGGCTCTGAGAATATGCAAGCATAGTACAGATGTGAAGACACGCCATTACACTGGTAAGGTCTTCATGACCAGGACGTGTTCTTCAGTGTTTGAGACAACTTCAAAGGCTGTGGTATGTAAAGCTGTGTTGTCACACATATCCATAGGAAGGCTGGTTCCCGATGTGTTTGTGTTTTTACACAGAATAACTGCAACAAGTTGAAGCCGAGATACATGTGCCCATTGGGTTGGCAAGATGTCTCTAAAATGTACAAAATTAGATGGCAAAACACATAAAAACTACTGCAAAAGAAAAGCTAATCTGCCTATAATTTGTGCAGGGTGTTATTTTCTTGAGTGAATAAGAAACGGCTAATAGCTCACGCACTAAACACCACCTGCAGTTGTTAATGTAACATGTAGATATACGATATTTGTACCGTATCTGACTGAAAGTTGTATGTTTTAATGGCAAGGCAATATAATCTGTTGGTTGGATTTGGTTTGATGATAGAGTGAGGGAGAAGACTGGCATCCTTATCTGGTGATTGCACAGAATGTGTACCACTGGAGGGGGGCGAAGATGGTTGAAGTTAGTGGAAAAAATTTCAATGGGGTATTTATGAGAATATGTCATGTCTTTACATCAACACAGTTGAACTTGGACATTTCTTTTCCAAACATGTCGGCACCGGCACCTCATACAAATCTGATCTTTTCCCCTTCCACTTCTTTGAAGTCGTACAGTGACCAGATGCCATCTACTTTCACTGAGCACGACAGCAAATGTGGTATTGTTAAGGGTACCAACCAAGTGCAGCATATGATTCAAGATATGAGGCAAAGGGCTCCCCCCCATTCTGTCTTCTTTTGGTGGATGGAATCCTTAGAATTCCTTTCAGATTTCAGAGGGGGGGGTGCAGTAGGCACAAAAGCCTTAGGGTATACAGCTTGTGCATCATATTAGGGGGTCCCTCTTTCCCACATATCGTGCTGGGCATCAAGTGCAGAGTAGCTAAAATATCAGGCCAGATTGCTTTTACAAGTATATCCTACAAGAGCAAGGTTATCATTTTTGATCTTGCCACACTCAGGTTTGTGGGCCTTGTGTTCACTCAGTTTGAGGTTTTAAAGTAACGTGCAAGATAATTATCAATTATCCTAGTGTTGACAGAGCTGTGACTTTATGTGATCATGGATACGATAAGATAAGTGGCATTTAAGCAAGTAGTCCTACAAGAACACGTCCGCACTTCAAGCGCACACATGCCATGTATTTAAAGCTACAAGCAAAGATTTAGGTCAGAGGATTAGCATAGATCGTGGAAGTTTACGTTGACTGGGGATTTTTAACTAAAAGGACCCGGCACTTATGACATAATTTTTACACTTCACAAATTTAGTACCATTTGAAAGAGAATCTGTAAAAGTAAAAAAAATCATCTCAATACATGTAGCTTGATTTTAAGTATATTTTGACAACTTTTATCATCGATAATAGCCATTTTGTGTGTGTCAATTTTTTTGTTGATGGAGGATATGTTCGTATTTCTAAATGTTCTGCTGTAGCCATAGCAGCCATAAAAAGCAATATATGAAGATGACAATGTGACTTCGTTAAAATGACTCAGATTACCTTAAACAAGGATCTGGAGGTTTCTTTTCCTTTGGTCCTCCAGCAGTATGATGATGTACATGTACACCAGTTAATCTGCAGCACACGTCACGTTGAACCATGAAGGATATCCAGGAAACTCTTGAGAAAGGTATGGAAGAACAAATTTAACAAGTGCGCAAAAAAATTTCAACTCATGGCAAATTCATAAGAGTCACCTTTCTTGGTTGAAAGACACCGTACATGCCTTTAAACTTTAATATGTTTATACTGTTACCTTTCACTTAACGTTAAAAGGAAAAGCAATAGAATCTGCCGAAAACTTCGGTCGCAATGCTGAAGGAAAGCGGTGCCAGATATGCAATCACTAATAATCGAACTTCATTCATGTATGAAGTGGTACATGTGCAAAAACAATTCCTTACTTGTTATTTATCACACTTTCCCACAACAATATATCTGGGAACATCGTTTTTGAAAAATTACAGTATAAGAACATAATTGATAATGTTGAATATAGGCCGTGCAAGGTATGACTGCATAAAATGGTAACAGTGAATGATAAGGGACTTTTTTTTTGTTGAACCATCAAACCATCAAAGAACCATTACTTTTCATCGCCCTCTGTACTGCATTGACATTTTATTCTCTTTCCAACTAGGAGTGGATTGGGAACACTGATGGGTACTCGTTTCTGGTTGAGTGGCTTAAAAATAACATAAATCTCGCAATGAGTTACTTAAAATTAATAAATACGTCTTATTCATTACTCAGTTTCTGGAGGATTCTTTTCCTTCTGCTGGTTGCTGTTCAGAGACATGCTGGCAGAAGTTACCTGGGACTTTAAAGCTAGTAGATGGCCGTTTTATAATCCTCAATTTGATTTCCGCTTTTTGTCACAGACCCCAGTGCATGACGTCGAGGGTGAGCTCTTCCATACATCCACGGTGCACTTCTTCAGCCAGATTAAGCTCCTTCAAAACAATGACATGACAGCTGCCTGAAGTTCTTGCTGACAGCTCAGGAACGTCTTGACCTTTTCTCACTGACTGCCTTGCCCCGTGAATATGAGCAAGGGTCGTGATGTGGGCTTTTTCCTTCCTAAAATATTCAAGTGCCTGGATGTGCTTTCTGAAAGTTGGTTTTGGCAGACACTTCACTTTTTTTTTACATCTTGAACAAAAGATCACCTTATTTTACTCAATAGGGAGTGGTTAGTGAAGATGTGCTGCCATAAACCTACTTGAAGAAAGACTTACACTGTTTCATTGTGAATCGGAGATTTGATAAACATTTGTAACATCAAACTTTTTCAAGCAGGGGTACACTGCAGAATAAAAGATGATCTGCCATAATGAATTCAGCTGTTCTACTTGTAGAGATCTCCAAAAGATCAGCAGCCTGTATAAAGTGACATCCAGTTTCCATTTCTTCGCCTTTAATTTTCCACCACAATGGCGTGGTGGCCAGTAATGATACCAGTCCAAGAGCTTTACAACCTGTTAGGTATTCAGGTACTTTCGAATCAAATTCTACTGCTTGTAGCAGGCGATTCACCGCACCTTCTCCATTAACGTAATCCTGGAGATGATCAGCCGATAGAATACAATGGCAGCATGATGAAACAGATTGTTGAACCATTTCCACGGAAAGGCTCCTAGGTAAGTGGTTAAACCCATTTATTTTTTATGGATGGCTGGAGAAAATCAAGAAACGGCCATGGAATATCCCATCTTCTCAGCTCCTCCTGCAACATGTTGGAATCTGTGGATCGTGTTCCCGGCTCGGATATTTCTGGAATCGTCATCAAGAATTGGTGCCCCATGTGTGAATATACCTTCTGTTTATGCAGTGTTACCACTGCTACTTCGGCCAGATGAACCAGTGCCAGATTTTTCTAAGGAAATTCGATCAGTCACCATTTAAAGAAGATTAAAACTGTGGCAGAATTTTCCGTTGTACAGTATCTTTCTAATAGGTTACTGAATTTTCCTTCTGTAGCGGCTCTGTCAGACATAGTGGGAGGTAAATTACAGGTCCTGGGGAAAATTTCCTTAGCAACTGTTCGTTACTGTCATTTATTCTTTTATGTCATTTCCCTGACAGCAAGCACATACAGGTGGCCATCTTCATCACTGACGTGAAAGCCCTCCAATTTCTTTCCAATTTTGTAAGTGTCGCTGCTTAGAGGACCAATAAGTGTTGTCTGTAGTACTTGTTCAGCTGACTGCTGTTGCGAGATGCCCACTCCCATATTATTCCATTGTGTAATGTTGATGTACTGTGTAAAACTTGCTTTCCCTTTGTCTCTCATACCTTTTTTCTCTCTGCTCGACATCTTCTCACTGCGCATTTCCTTGTTCCTCCTTTTCGTTTGGGTGCTACACAGAACGACACAAAAAATAATTCACAAATAAACATGGAATGTGTGACGATAAAATTATAGCTAGAATGTTAAAATACTGAATGTTGTAAAAATAACTAGCACTTCCAAATCTGTTAGCCTGGACACAAAATTGTCATTACCATTATCCGACATACACGTAAACCAAATTACTTGATCAAACATTAACAGACCGAAATAGAAAAGGATAGATTAGTTACTCTTCGCTGTATACGTTATAGTTTTCACTTTCCAGTTATGTATGTCTCTAATTTCTGTTAGTATTTTAATAAGTACCTTTTCTGCGTTTCTCCACAATTTTCACATGCTTGCTTCCTCATTTCTTAACCGTCTGCCTTCGGTTCGTCCGCTTTCTCCTTTGGTGCACTCTCGATGTCTTCCTCCTTGGTCAAATCCCTCACGCTCTCTCTAATTTTCTCGTCCGTCTCCCGTTCCACTTGCAGCTTTTTCCCACCTATTCGTCTCCTTCACGTTCTCCAATAAATATTCCACTCTGTCCCGAACGGCACACTTGTCAGCCTTAAGGTCGCCTGCCTTCAGGGCGTCTGCAACCTCCTGTCATGCTTGCCCTTGTTCACGTGCGCCCTGCCTGTACCGGACGAGTCTGGCCAACATGACCTCGCCAATCAGAAGGACGGCCTTTTTGTTGTCCTAGATCGTTCAAAAGAAAAACCAAAGTGATACTGTTCAATAAGAAGCAGATGTAACTGGAGAAGTAGCAGCAACAGCGACAAATTAAACATGATACCTCGGATTTTCGGTTTCACGGAAAACATGGCCGCTGATGAGGAATATTCGTAGAAGTGCAATCAACTCGTCCATAACATTCAATTCGTTTATAACAAATCCCCAGATGTAATTCTCAGTTCAGAATCGTGGTTAGATGGAGATGTCTACTCATCCGAAATTTTTTCCTAGCCAGTATTAGTTGACTAGGAATGGAATATAACAGAGGTGGTGGCATCTTCATTGCCATTAAGGATACCATCCTCTGTATGGAAAGGCTGGATCTCTCACTAAGTGATAGTGAACAGATATGGTGTCAACTCTAACTGGGGTCCGAAAGTGTCTGTATTAATTTATTACAGATCGCCTAGTACTGGAGAAAGAAGGCCTCGAGTTTTTGGATGCCAGTCTTAGTAAGATCAAGCAAGAGTCTAAATCCCCCCACATCATAGTTGGCGGGGATTTCGATATTCCAAACCTAGTTTAGAATTCTGATGGTGCAGCCAATCCCTGCAGTCCCCTTCAAGAAAAGATCGCCTGTGTTGCTGATAACCATACTCTGGAGGAAATGGTGACTTTCCAACGCTCAAGGATGCAAATGGATATCCTGGATCTCTGGTTCACAACAAGACCTTCAACAGTGGAAAATGTCTATCTACTGGCCCCTATTGCTGATTATTGTACGGTTATGATTGACATGCAAACTCAGACTCCAGTGCCTGTGAAACCACCAAGAACTGTGCTTCTTTGGAACAAGTTGGATGAGATGAGCAAAATTTCAATTTAAATGTCCAGAAGCCTACTGATGCGTTTCTTGGAACCAGTCCAGAAGAGAAGACTGTTAATGAAAACTGAAATACCTTTAAAAGTGCCATCACAAATCTTATCCAGAAACATATTCCTAGTAAACAAACTATAGATAAACAACGTCCTCCATGGTTTGCACGGAGGCATAAGAGAATTTGCAGAAGAAAAGAGCGTTATTATCTGAAAGCTGTTAAAACTATTAACTACAAACAACAGTGGGATGATTTCAAGAACATACGCAGTGACGATGATAAAAAAAAATCCATAATGCGCACAAAAATTATGTGTCCGACCATCTTTCGACAGTATAAAGTTCTGGAGTTACATCAGATCCCAGAAGAAAGACAACGTTGGTATCCAGACTCTTAAGATAGGAGACCAAACCCTTGTTAATGATCAGTTAAAAGCTGAGAAATTGGCTGACCTATTCCAGAGTGTCTTCTCTAAAAAAGACCCAACTCTACCTACGCTTCCACCCAGCCCTTTTCCTGATCGACCTGATATAGAAATCACTGCAGATGGTGTGGAGAAACTGCTCTCTACTATCCAAGTTAACAAAGCTACTGGACCAGATTAAGAGCAAAATGCTGCTTTGAAGATTGCCTCAGCAGATAGAGCTGGTCCCTGCGTTACAGTTCATCTTTCAGCAGAGTTCAGATCAGAGTATTCTTCCAGATGACTGGAGAAGAGCAAATGTCTCGCCCATCTTTAAAAAAAGGACCCAAATCTGACCTAGTAAATTACCGGCCGATAAGGTTAACCTGCATCTGTTGCAAATTGATGGAGCACATAATTGACAGCCAGATTATGAAGTTCCTTTCAGCCCATGGTAAACTCCCGGACGCCCAGCATGCCTTTAGAAGATCCCGGTCATGTGTCACTCTGCACATCACTTCCCAGCACGACTTAACTACTAACCATGACAAACAACTGACTACAGATACTGCAATACTCGACTTCGGTAAGGCATTTGATGTTGCACCACACCAGCGCCTTCTCCAGAAGCTACATTTTATAGTATTAGAAATAAACCACTGAAATAGATCGAGTCATTTCTCACAAATTGTATGCAAAGACTCATTGTAAACGGTAAAGCTTCGCCCTGGAAACCAGTGCTGAGTAGTGTACTCCAGGGTACGGTGCTAGGTCCCAATCTTTTTATACTCATCATTAATAACATTGCACAAACTGTCAAATAAAGTACGAGACTCTTTGCAGACGACTGCATCTTATATAAGACCATAAGTTCACCGGTAGATAACAGATTGCTACGTTCTGATCTTGATAGTCTTGTAAAGTGGTCTAATCAATAGCAAGCTACAAAATGCTTGGAGAAACCCTGGAGGAAGTCACTCGTGGCAACTACCTTTGGTGTAATAATGCAGAATGAACTGAAATGGAACAAGCAAACACAATATGCCTCAACCAAACCCCCCAAAATGCTGAACTTCAAAGAAATTTCAGCCAATTTTTCCAGAACAGATCAAGAAGACGTATACCAGACAGCTGTTCAACCACATCTTGAATACGCCTCTGCTGCATGGAACCCAGGCACCAAGAAAAAGAGAGACATCCTTTAGTCGGTGCAGAGACGAGCTGCCAGCTTCGTGTGCGGTGATTTTCAACCTAAACCCAGTGTATCGAATATGTTAACCAACCTCAAATGGGATTCTCTTGAGACTATACGCCAGATGTAGAGACATACAATCGTTCACAAAATATTCAATCAGGAGATTGGCATTGACGCTAACCCAAGCTGACCTGGTCCCGAAGAAGCCACAACAGACAGTTTGAAGTCCATCATCACACATCCAGCCTTTTTTACCAGAAAC